ACACAGCAGCACCATCAGGACTCCTGCTGACACAAACATCATATTTCAGTCATTTCTATAACTGCGTTGACTTGCACCCCTCTCCCTCACACACTTCTTCTAGTCATTTAGACACAATTTGCTATTCACGAGGAGCCGATACCATAACAGAATCTCTTTTTCTTGTGTTTTTTTTCTACAACAGTATTTCTCGAGGACAGATCGAGTCCTGAAGCACAAGCGCATGTGCCACGAGAACCGAGAGCGGAAGGTGGGCAAAAGTGGCTGCAAGTCCGGCCTGTTATCCCCGGACGGCGATGTTTTCTCCGCCCTGGCCAAAGAAGGAGCGCTACCGAAGAAGAAACCGAGGACAGACAAGGTGAAGCTGCTGGGGCTGAGCGAGAAGGATGGCGCCCCGGAAAAGGCGGAGCAGCAGAAGGCGGCGGCGGCGACGTTCCTGCCCCTGTACCCCAACAGCAGTACCAAAGTGAAAGATGAGTACATGGTGACGGAATACTCGGTAGAGATGCCTCATCCCTCCATCAGCGACCTGCACCTCCAGGAAGACGTGTCTGCGGCTATCAGCCCCCCGAAGCTGCTGATCAAGAAAGTGAGCAGCAAGAAGAGCGTGAAAAGTGCGTTGGAGCAGAGCCAGGCGCTGGAGCAAAGCCACGCGCTGGAGCAGAGCCAGGCCATGGCCGCACTCGCCGCTTTTGACGACGGCAAAGTCTCCAAGTATACGTTCGAGCTGGTGGACAAACAGGCAATGCTCGACTCCGGAAGCAATTCAGACATGGACCACGGCGACCCGACGCAGGAGGGCAACGCCAAACCGGCCAACAGCTACGACGAAGCAATGCAGTTCTCCAAGAAGAAGCGCTACCTGCTGGCCGCTTCCGGCAACAGCAGCAGCAGCCGCGAATACGCCCTGAACGTGGGCACCATGGCCTCCCAGCCGTCGGCCACACAGGCGGCCGTGGCCAGCGTCATGGACGAGAGTAGCGCGGCCGCCCTCTTGGATCCCCAGGCACTGAGCGTAGACATTAAGGCAAACCACGACAAGAGCGTGATTCCGGACGAAGTGCTCCAGACGCTGCTGGACCATTATTCGCACAAAGCCAACGGGCAGCACGAGATCTCCTTCAGCGTGGGAGACGCAGAAGTCACTTCCAGCATCTCCATCAACTCCTCCGAGGTGGGGGAGAGCAGCCAGCCGGAGAACCTCGCGGCCGCCGCGCAGGTCTCGCAGTCCGACAAGGCCAGCATGCTGCAGGAGTATTCCAAGTTCTTGCAGCAGGCTCTGGAACGGACCAGCCAAAACGACGCCTATCTGAACAATACGAGCCTCAACTTCGTGGCAGACGGCCAGGCTCTGTCCAGCGCGGCCGCCTTCCCTGCGCTGGACAAGCACGTCTACACCACGCTGCCCATCACCACGTACCGGGCAAGCATGGCCGCCCCGCTGAGGGCGTCGCCTGACAAATCTCACTTTGGACTTATAGTGACCGATGCCCAGAACTCCTTCAGCTTTGCAGCGGGCGATGGCGGTCACGGCTCCCCCGCACCTTCGTCGTCGGCGCAGGACTTCATCGATCAAGTGACGGCTCAGAAGAAGCCGGAGACTCAGGCGGTCCACCAGGCCTACCAGCT